GGCAGCCAAATGCAGGTTCTCATGTCAGCAGGTAATGTGACTTTGAGACCTACCAGGGGTCTTACTTACCCCAATAAACTGATAGCAGATGCTTCCCAGAAAAAGAAAACTTAACAGAATAGTTAATGGGATATTTTTGTACAATAAATGTCCTGAATCAGCTTAAAGTTAGACTGTTAGTAAGTAGAGTTGGAGGTTACTCTTTATGCTAACTACTGTGAATTCAGACATTTACCTAGCAGAAAGTGCTCATGCTGGCTGAAGCTCTTCCTGAGAGATTGGTGTGTACTCTTAGGTCAGTGTGCAGTGAAGATGATAGCTGATGGACATGAAGCAGTAAGGCTGTAAATACCTAGAAAGTCATCAAAAACATGTTGATGAGGGGAGAAAGATCAGAGAATGAAATACTAAAATTAGAAATCTGCTCTAAGGTGCTCTGTAAATTATGCCATGAGGAGTAGGTTGGGACATTACATGTCTACTTTTTCCTAGAGTTTAATGAGGTAGGAGTCTGCAGGTTGGGTGAGCATCTCCAGTGCAAGGAGGAGAAAACCATGGAGGACCTTTGTCTTCAGTAGACTGACTTCTGGTTACTTCTAGATCCTTGTCTGTCTTTCCATCTTGGTCTCTGGTGCAGGTGTCTTGATACATGCACTGATACTGGCAGTTTGCTGCTGGCAAACAGAACCTTTGGCTCGGATTCAGTCCCTTCATCAGCAGGGATTAGTGTGCATTACATCCAGGAGGAAATTAACCCCAAAAGCCTTTCCAAAGTGAAATGCTGGAGGGCTTTCTGTTCAAGCCAGTGTGACTCAATCTAATAATCAGCTGCAGCATAGCTTCTGGTAGAAGTCTGGCTGGGCTTTCTTTGCTGACTGGCCACCCTCCTTGCTTCCTTTGCACTTCTGCTTTTAGCTGATGTGGTTGTAATTCTAATTCTGGGGGCTCGAGGCCTTTCCTGGGGTGTTTGTTTACATGCTCAGATTGTGTTGAGACCAGGAGTACAGGCTGAGTGCTTTTAGCCTCACTGACTGAACCATTAAATTCGATCAGTGAGCAAAGTAAAATAGCTACTGAGCAAACAAGCAACAGTGTTCCTGCTCAGCACCCTTGTTTACATGGCCCTGTCACCCACAGACCCTTGGGAATGCAGTCCCTGGGTCGCTCTGCAGGTGGTAATGGCTGTGCTCTAATTTGGGTGTGGATACAACTCTCCTCTCCGTCTCTTCCCAGCGTGGAAATAGGTGAGAGCGTGCGTGGGGAAGATGTCTACATTGTGCAGAGTGGCTGTGGGGAGATCAATGACAACCTGATGGAGCTCCTTATCATGATCAATGCCTGTAAGATTGCCTCAGCCAGCAGAGTCACGGCTGTCATACCCTGCTTCCCTTACGCTCGGCAAGACAAAAAGGACAAGGTAAGGCATTTTCTGCTGGGGAGATGCAAGTCCTGACTGCTTGGATAGGGATTATATGAAGTTAAGTATGCAGGGGAGGAGATAAAGCTGAATTTAATTTATTTAAACCTCAGGGCATTGGCCTGCATATGCATCTTTTCATAAAGATCTAGTTGTTCTTGAAAGAACACCAAGCTGTAATCACCAGTTGATGAAAATATGTTAATGAGCACTCCTTTTAGTAACTGCTTGTGAATCATTGCTTGGAAGTGGAAGACTGACATCTTGATTGAGGGAGTTGAACTTGTCTTAAATGCTGTTCTTTCCTGTGCTAGAGTCGAGCTCCCATCTCTGCCAAGCTGGTTGCAAACATGCTCTCTGTGGCAGGTGCAGATCATATCATCACCATGGACCTGCATGCATCTCAGATTCAGGTAGGAGCTAAAATCAGCGAAGTACTTGATCTGTTCCAGTCTGAGTCTCTTTACTACCTTGCAGTCATCTGCCTTTTTTTTTTTCAGACAGAGTAGTGATGATGTGTAACAGCTTCATCTGTAAATGAATTTACAAATGTTCTTGATCAGATGAAGCATAATGAGTCCTGTGTAAATGAATTTTGGGCTGGTAAATGATCTGGGCAACTTCATTGCCACATAGTGACACTGGGTATTCTTAACTGGTCCTTTAAGGAATTTGAGGTGAAGAATGAGTTTATCAAGAATGTTCTTAAATATTGGGTAGAGCTTTCTGATGTATTGTCAGGGAGGAGTGAACAGTGCTGTTTGACATAGTGGCTGGGAACACTGAGGTTAGCTCTGCCTCCAGGGGAGCTGGCACAGCTGCTGGTGAGGATTCAGTTGACCAGGACAGTGATCTGTTAGACAAGATGGGCAATCCCACTTGTATCCATTCAGTGCCACCCTAAGTTGGCTGTGGCTCTCTTCCCAAGTTGCTGGTGGGTTGAAATTATTTTTTTTTTCTGACTTAGTGAGTAGAACAGTCTCACACAACAACTAGAACCTTGACCAGAGCTGTGTAAGAGAAGTGGCAAGAGTATATACCAGGGAGAGGAAGGACAGCAAGCTGCTAAATGATCATTCTTGCCTCTTTCCACCTTGAGCAAGTGCTCTGAGACCAAGAAGCCAACTCAGTGCAACTGAGAGAGCTGTTGTAGAGGGGAGGAAATCTGTTGTATTGCTGCAAACACTTGGAACCCAGAGGGGGTAAGATCCCTACTGTCTGGTGAAGTAGTGAGGCTGGCTGTCATTTTAACAGTTGAAAATGCAGCTTTTCACACTTCAGTGTAACTTCTTCCAGTATAACTTGCCCAGAAATACTTGGTCTGAGATGAAAAAATTCTATGTGGCACGGCTGAGAAGACTTTCAGAAAGATGGTTAAATACAACAGAGCACAAGGGGCTATTATGCCTTTTCTACGAGAGGCTTGGAGTTGTCATGTGTGCCATAGGCTTGACCTTTCAGCAGCAGCAGTGGTGAGATTCATTTAATTGGGGTTGGGGTTTTGTGTAGAAGCTTCCAGCAGCTGGCTGGTTTCAGACAGGTTCTCACAGCTGCTGGGTGCAGAAGGAATGATGGTGGAGAGGCTGTTAACCCTGTACCTTGAAACATTCCTCTTGAAGCTGCCTCTGCTCTTCTATTACTCCCTGTCCAGGATTAACTTCTGGCTTCTAGTGACCTTTGAGGTTTACCTGGAGGAGTCTGCTGGGTCAGGGTGAAGTTGTGGAACCAGCTGCATTGGTTGAAAAACAAATGTTGCTCAAGCCTTTTTCATAGGTTTCATGTAGATGCAAACAGTGCAGGTAATGAGCTTTAAAGGTTGCCTTTGTAAACAGGCAGCAGCTGCTCTGAAAATGTGTTGGATGCTGGTTTTCTGCACACCCTTAGGATAGAACTAGTTCCATGTAGTGAAGGTGTCAGATGTAAAGTGTTACTTATGCTGCTAAACTATTTCTGTCTCTGAAGAGTTCTTACGTTATTCTGCTGTGTATCCCAAAGGCTGCTGCCCTTGCATTAAGGGAAGTAGAAAGGAAAGCTGAAGGCTGTGGGGAGGTGCTGGCTGCATGCCTAATCATATAGAAGGTTTCTTCCAACTGTTTTTGGAATGTGACCTTCAGCTACATCTGTTCCTGTTGTCTTCCTTGCAGGGTTTTTTTGATATCCCTGTTGATAACTTATATGCTGAGCCTGCTGTACTGAAATGGATCAAAGAGAATATTGCAGAATGGAAGAACTGCACCATTGTTTCACCAGATGCTGGTGGAGCCAAGAGGTAAGATGTCAGACATCTTGCTTGATGTGCTTCTCTAGGTACTTGAATTCCAGAGTGTTGGTGACCATATTCCCAAGATATGTGTTCCCTCTGCCGTTTTAAGACAGTCTGTGGCACCTAGTAAAGAGTGGTCAGGTATTCTTCCTCAGGAATGTTTAGGTTTCTTGGGCTGTGTGGAAAATCAAATAGCTTTTAGAATCACAGCTGCATAGGTAGGAACTGCACAATTACTACATCCCTTGGACTGTACCAATTTTAGGTAGAGTTTTGTAGGGCAATTGTGCAGGTTGAAGAAGGGGATCGTGTAGCTCACACCCCTGTGGCAAAACCAGATACCACTGCTGGTTAATGATCCATTTTTAACAAGGTTGTTTGCTTGCAGTATTAAGCTTAGTCTATAGAGACACTTTCTTACTCTTGATTTTAATATCTAACTGGGACTTAAACCTGCTGCCACTTTTCCTCTTCCCTGAAAGCAAGGAAGAGAGATGGTTCCTTTCCAAAAAGCTGCAGCATCTGCTATAGCACATTTCTACTTTGATAGTCTGACAGTCTTCTGCAGATAACCATGCCAGCTTGTGGGCAGCTCAGAATGTTCTCAAGTGCTTATTAGGAGAAACCAGACTGTTCCTTAATGCTTCTGTGTGAGGGCTGCATGTGAACAGTAAAGGGATGCAGATGTGTTCTTTAATCCAGGACTGTCACACCAAAAATGTTGGTCTGTTCTGACCTAAGGCACATACTTCAGGGTGTTTCAAGCTGTTAAAAGCAGCCAAGGGATACCACTGCTGCAGGTTGCTGTGTCTGCCTGCAGGTCTGGTGTGGCCCATGTATTGGAGAAGACCTTTTGTGTATTCAGCTACCTCTGTAATGCAGTGTATGAAATGCCAAGTCAGCCAGCTGCAGTCTGACCCCTGGAGAAACCTCTTCAAGAGCCCCTTGAACTGAAATGTGTTGATCTTAGCTGGTGCAATATTTTATGGAGATAGTGCAGAACTAAGTACTTTAGTAAACAGTTTAGTTTAACTATGTTGTGTAGGACTTGTGTAGGGTGATGAGGCTGATCTCTTGAAGCTAGGGATCTCTTCAGCTGCAGAATTTCTTGTGTGTTCCTCTTGCTCTTAACATTTTTAATGTTGTTCTGTGGTCACTTTGACCACTGAAAATGTGAGATGGTGGACTTGCATGTCTTTGGTGTTATAGTCCTGCCACTGTTCTTGTGCCAGCACTTGTATGCAGGACCATGGGATGCTCACATGAGTGCAGGCAGATCCCTGTCACTGTCATGGCACAACTTCAGACTTCCCAGTGTAGTGATATAAAGCTGACAACTTCCAAAGCCTTCTGATGACTTCAGGCTTGCCAGACTTGCTGGTTAAGGTTTGTTTTGAGCTTTAAATGCAAATTAATTGAGTGGTCAGGATGAAAGACTTCTCTCTTAATCTAGTTGCTGTGGTCAGGGGAGATGAGATCAGAGTTGAACTGTTTGAAGGGAAGCTAAAGTGTCAGTGTCTTCTATTAATTGTTCAGGAGCAGCAACAGATGTGGTGACAGCTTCTCTTACTGCAGTGGCAGTGAGTGCTTAAGAGTTAGAAGAGACTCAATTGAAGCTGCTGTGTGGAGTTAAGTGTTGTTTGGGAACTGTTCTTCCTTCAGAGTGACCTCCATTGCAGATCGGTTGAACGTGGACTTCGCCCTCATCCACAAGGAGCGCAAGAAGGCCAACGAGGTGGATCGCATGGTGCTGGTGGGGGATGTGAAGGACAGAGTGGCCATCCTGGTGGATGATATGGCAGATACATGTGGTACCATCTGTCATGCTGCAGACAAGTGAGTGGGGCTGGCTGATTCTTTCCTAAATCAGAAACCCGTGGTTAGTGAACACTGTGTGACGAGTGAACGGGGTTATTTGTGTGTTGAGTTCCACAAAGTAAAGTAGTTTATTGATTATATATCTCATACAAAATCAGTGAAAAGCCTAGTTGAAGTTCTCACAGAGAATAGCTAGAAGACATAGTGTCTGGTTTTATTTGAAAAATGCTTGTGTTGATAGTATGTCTTTCACCAGACCATCACTGATTATGCTCAGTAGAATTAAGTGCTGTCTGGTGCATCAGCTTCAGGTCATACATCTGAATTTCTATTTTAATTAAGCTTTTCAAACCAGGATGCCTTTCAAGCCTTCTACACTTGAAACACCAGCATATGCAGCACTCAATGTTAAATATCTGCTACCTTGTGTTGGCAAAAATCACAGGAAGTGGTTTGTGTGATCTCGTCCAAATGTCCTGGGGCTAAGAACAGTATTTTTTTAATGTATACTTTGCCTGTGGTGGATTTGGTAATACTTGTGAAACTGTTTTCTTCCCCCAAACCAACAGTGGGCTGGAGAAGGCAATCAAATGTAGCCTGTCCCCTGAGCTTATGGCATTGTCTCATTTCATGCTTACCATGTGACCCCTGCACTAATGTCAGCTGAATACTTGCTAAAAATTTCTCATCCTTCTCCTTTTTTACTCTGTTGTAGGCTTGTGTCAGCTGGAGCCACCAAAGTTTATGCCATCCTAACTCATGGGATCTTTTCTGGGCCAGCAATCTCTCGAATCAACAATGCCTGTTTTGAGGCAGTTGTAGTTACAAACACAATACCCCAGGAGGACAAGATGAAGCAATGCCCTAAAATCCAGGTGAACATCCCCTTTCTCCTCTCTCACTCCTAAAGGGCTGGCAGCACTTGACTGCCCTCCTCTTGGTGGGAACACCCCATAATACTGTCGAGTGCTTACAGCACTTTTATTGGTACTGGGATCAGTGACAATGGTGACTAGTTCTTATTGTGGGTAACAGACCTGTTGCACTGATAAAATGCAGCTTCTGGTCTATTTCATCTTAAGCAGTTCATTTAAATCAATCTTTTTCAAAGCTTGTTTTACCTAAATGAGATCTAATGTGGCCACGATGTGAGCCACCAGTTGTGGCCATGCCCTTTGGAGGGGTGATAAGCTGATGTGTAATACTGACGTAGATAGAACTTCTGAAGGTGGCAATGGCAGTTTCAGTTGTGTACCTGTCACCTAATGTCCAGCCCTTTAAGAAGAGGGTACTTTTTGTGAAGCCAAGTAGGCCTGGCCTGGGGAAAGTGAGAGCTTCGTGTCTGGTCATCCCAGCAGGGCAGGTGAGCTAGAAAAGGGGTGCAGTCTCATCCCACAGCTGTCTTGCTGGCTTGACTGCACCACAGTACAATGTTCAGATACTTGCCAAAGATAAACAAAACCACTTTGCCACCCATATGAAAGCTAAAAGTTGATGTTCCCTCTGTCTTGGGTTTTCTGTTTAGGAAATGTACTGTGGTGTTTTGTTTCCCAAGCTGAGGCTAACTTTGCTAGAAGGAGAAAAAAATAAAATTGGTTGTGCCACTTGAGCTAGTCAGAACTTGAGGATTTCCTGTGATCCTGGACAGCTGGAAGTTGCAACTTTACCTGAGCATTCAGGCTTAACAGGTCCCTCAGAACTTCAAGTACAGCTGTAACATACACACAGCCAAGGACATCCTAAATACTATCTCCACAGCACAGACACATGGGACACAGGCATTTCGAGAAGTTCTAGAAAGTGAAAGGCACTGCTAAGACTCAGCTAGTGCTGTGCTGGAAGTGTAGCTGGTTCCTCAGTACTGGTGCTCTGGGGAAAGGGAAGCTCAGCTGGTTGAAGCTGCAGTGAATTTTAAACTGCTTTTGCAACTAAGTTAGAAGCTGATTGTGAATTAGATTGCTTCTTTTTTTTTTTTCAACACTAACTTCTGGATGATATTCCTGCCACTGAGCACATCTAAAAGATGTCTGATGCTTCAGCTTCTTTCCAAGCTCTGCACTGCAGCTAATGCAGACAAAATGTTCAGTTGGTAATTGGTGTGTAAACTCCTAGAGCCCAAGATGGCAGAACTAAAGGACTTGTCATAAGTCTCATGCTCTGTCTGCTCTGCAGCTCTTGAGTTGTTTTCTTTCCTTCCTTAGGTAAACTGTCACCCAAATTTGTAACATCCCAGATGCAGATAAATTACTTCTACATGTGACTTAATTACATAGAATTCTGAAAATATTCTACATACAGCACTACAATAATCATTTCACTATTGATCTTTGTTAGTCTACTGTCACTTTTCTTTGCTGAGACTTCTGAAGTTCAGTTTGTTTACCTTAGGACTATCTTATGGTCTGTAGGTTGCAGAGAACTTAGGGTAGTTTAAATCGAGGTCAGATTGCTTCTCTTGAATGCTGAAGCTTTCCCACCGCTGTCAGCAGTCCAAGAAAGGACACATCACTTTACCTGCTGGGGTTCAGAGCTGGAGTTCGTTTACTGAGACTTGATTTTCCCTCCTTGTTAACTGCATTACCCCACCAGGTGGAGCCAGTGCAGTGGCTGGGAGCTGAGCTGCAGCACAATAGCTTCATCTTCCTTAGATTTAGGTGATAATCCTTTTAACTTATTATTTACCCTTTAGGTTCTTCCTAACTTACCAGCCATTCTTCTAGGCTTGATGTCTTTTCTCAGTGACGCTGATGCATCTTTCTTTTCCTCCAGGTGATTGACATCTCAATGATCCTTGCAGAGGCCATCAGGAGGACTCATAATGGGGAATCTGTCTCCTACCTATTCAGCCATGTCCCTTTATAACAACAGATGTGCCAGCTGCTGCTTGTATGGCTTTTTTTTTTTTTTAAACCAAAAGTTGTTCAGCTTGTTGTAAAGTTCAGTAGAGGACTCTGCTTTTTGGTTCCAGTGCAGCTCTCCACAGCTGCTCCTGCTTAAGTCAGGCTTACTGGCTCTGCTCCCAGCACTGGGAGGCAGAGGGAGGGAAGCTCATCTCTATAACACTCCAGCTCCACCAGCAACCCTGTGCACTGGGGCTCAGCAGTAGCACTGACTCAGTCTGCAGACCTGTGGAGAGCAGGACTGACACATGGCTCATTGCCACAATTATTTTATAGGGAGGGGGGTGGGGGGAAAACAAGAGGGTTTGTCTGTGGGCAAGGTTAGATGATCTGGCATGCACACCCTAAATTGTTTGGGAAGCAGAGCTCCCTAGGACATGTTGATCTGGATCTACAGCAAGAGCCTGAGAGACTGCTGGCTGTCTTACCACTCTGTACCTGACAGAAGCCCTTGAAGTGATGGGGAAGGCTGGTGTTTTGACCAAGCTTGACCCTAGGCTTGACCCTGGATGACATCTGGGATATGGTTCTGCTACAGCTTCCTCCCATAAATGAGGTCAGTGTAGTTTGCAAACTGGAGTTCATCTTAATGATGAAATCAGTTCCCTTCAGTGTGCTGCACAGGAAGGTGAGGGCACAGGCTGTGCATGCTGCCTTGCTGTATTAACTTGGTGGTGAAGGTGCATCCTGGACAAGAATTTTTCTGCCTCCTATGTAGAGGACTCATGGTAGTTGTGTGCTTTAGTGTAGGCTCAAACCAGTTCCTCAGTTTCACAGCTCACTGTTGGCCTGGCTAGCAATTAGAGGACTGTTGTCATGTTCTGTAGCTGTACCTTGGCTTGCTGTGCAAACCCTTGATCCTTGTTTTACCAGTACACTAGTAAACTGAGCCTCTTTATCCCATAGTAGTTTGGTTGATGCATCAAGCAAGTGCCTGCTCAGACACTGGGGTGACCTAATATGCAACAGCTTTGTGTCCAGCTGTCTTAGTCTCTCATTGCCTGCACTCCTGTTCTGCTAGTTACTGACACATCTGGTTGCTTGTCATGGTCACTGTCTGCCTGGCCTTTAAGGTGTTGCTCCTTGCAAAAGATCTTTAAGGAACACAGGAGGTTGCAGGACTACAAACCCTAAAGAAGCTTGTGAAGTGGATTTGATGCTGCTAATGAGTGCTTGCAGCAATGGGTTAAAGAGGCTGGTGATACATAGAGCTGCAATTTTCCCAGCATTAACACCAACCTGACAGGCAGCAAAGTGCTGGAAAGAAAAATACCAAAACTAGAGCTGGCTGAGGCTCCCAGATGTAATAAGTATAATCTGAAACTTGAATACTTAGTAACTGTACCAGACAATCACAAGGTTAAATCTCTTCTAGACTCTTATGGGGTTATAGACCAAGCTGGTTTAGGCTCTGTTTCTTATAAGCACTCCTCCTTTATTTGGAATTTTTTTTTCAGCTGGAGGAAGGGAAAAAGGGGAAAGTAATTTGAAATTACTTGCTAGAATAACCAGCATGGCTTTGAGAGGCTAGGACCTGGGGTGGGTATAAGTGGAACTAACTGAAAGTCTTGGTTAAGATCTGTGGCAGTATGTCTTTAGTTGTGCCTTTTAATGAAGACTTCATTCCTAGAACTCCTGTCCTGTGGCAACATTAACACTTCTATTCCAGTGTAGGGGTTTATTTTTTTGTAGAAAAATTGATGTTTGTCTGAAAAGTGTGTGTCTCTTGCTTCTTTGCTTTGCGTCCTGCACTGAGCTCTCCCAAGAGTCTTGATTCTTCCCTCCTGCACAGGAGCCCCTGCTGCTGCACTGCCAGTGTCCTGAGCCCAGAGCCACTGGGGTAGCAGTGGGAGGATTTTCAGCAGCATTTGTGTTTGAACTTAAGACCTGATGAAGGAATTAAACTTTTATTTAAAAACCATAGCCTCTGTCTATAAATACTTCTAAAACTAAGGTGATATCCACCTTCTGAGTTGGGTCATTTTGCAAGGTAGATCATGGAATATTGTTACTTGGAAGGTTATCTGGTTTAACCCTCTTAGAGCAGGACTGATTGTGGGATTCAGTTTGGCTGTGCTCACATTGCATGGAAGAAAGAGCTTGGGACCAAGCTGCTTCTCTTGGTGGGTAGTGACTTTTGCCTGTATCTGATTTCCTAGGCTTAATTGTTAGAGGAGGTATTGAGGTTTCTCTTGTACTGTTCAATTCTATATCTGAACAGATCTGTTCAGAGAATGTTCAGACAGTGGAAAACCTGAATAGTTTAGCAAGTACAATTGAAGAATTGCTAAGGATCTTGCACAAAGCTAATGATCAGAGGCAGCAGGATTATGTCCTGAGAAGTACTTGCTCTAACTCAACTATAATCCTTTCTTATAGTGTATTGTAGACTGGGAAAGTGTAACTGAAGTCAGTAGGATGATATGGCAGGTCTAGAGAAAGATCTTTGGCCTTACAATAGATTTCCAGGCCTAGACTGAGCCCTGCTTCAAGAAACATGACCACAGCCTCAGGTAGACATGCTGAGGATCACTGCTGTCTAACCTGTTTTAAAACATTTCAGTATTGGTCAATGAGTAAATAAACTGTTATTTTTTTTCCTCAAATAGCAGGGGGGTGAGGTAGGTCTTGCCAGGGTGATGTAGGAGGTTTCACCTTCCTTACAGAAGAAAAAGAACATCAGTTTTACAGCCAAAAATCTGTACAAAGGTTACCGTTGCTGTTGCTTGATATATACTGTTTTCTTAGTTGCTTCAATGAAACCTTGAGGGTTGGAGTTGGGGAGGACACAGAGTTGAACTGTTGTATGACAACACTGTAACTTTTAAAAGGAGAGGTGATACAGAGATTATAAGAATGTCCCAAGGAAGTAAAGCTCTTCCTTGGAAACCTCCTTCAGATCAGAAGGGCAGGACATGTTAGCAAAGTTTTTTCCCTAAATTAAAAAAAAAAGACCAACTTTTTAATTACTAAACCTGTTTTGTAGGTTGTTTATGACTGATTGACTAGAAGTGACTGTTGTGCTTTTAGAACAAGCATGCCTGCCTTTAACACATGCATGTGGTAGAATTAAAGAACTTCTCTACCTCTCCAGGACAGTCATGGATGGAAGTACCAGGCATCCCTGGGAAGGGTGTCTTCTCACTGCAGAATGGGCTAGGAGGAAAACAGCCCCAGAGGCGTGGATGGCAGAGAGACAAGTTCTTTCAGTGTCCTCCAAGTTTGGGAGTGATGCTCATCCCTTAGCCCAGGCAGGTTCACCTCCAGCAGCACCAGCCCTGCTGTGCAGAGCTTGTGCTGTCTTGAGTTGCCTGTCCAGTTTGCCCTGGAGAGCTGCTGCAGTGAGTCCTGGGCATGCAGTGTGTCCTGGGGGTGAATTCTGTGGTGTCTTGTCTTCCCTGCAGCTGAAAATACCATAGAAATCAAGTCATTGGTTCCCCAGGAGAAAATCCCAAGTGAGTAATTTGCTGTCCTTCTGTAGTTGGAGAGCTGGAAGAGCAGGACAGAGGTGCAACAGCCCAGTGTGCCACGGGCACAGCCAGAGTGTGGGTGCAGATACTGGTGCCACCAGCTGTCTCATGCCTCTGCTGCCTGGGGTAAAAGCAGCATGAGAAGAGAATACAGCCAAAAGTCCTACATCTTAACCCAGCTCACCTGCCTAATGCATTTAAGCCCCCGGGAAATCTGGGCTTATATTTGTGCCTTGTGGGAAAGCAGGATTTGTCCCCTGTTTGGAGCAAGACAAGACACATCCCAAATTGTTCCCACCAGCAGCTCTCTCCTGCTGCTTCTCCCTGAGCCTTAGTGGAGTACAGATTATTTCTCACCTAGAGCTGGTGTTCCTGTGATCTAGAGAAAGCAGCAGCTTGCCTTGCTGCTGCTGGGCAATGGGAAAGCAGTGAGGATTAACAGAAAGTGCAAGGAGCAGCAAAATCCACTGGAGGAACTAGCCTGGGTGTAAGACTCTGCAGCCTGCATGTGCTGACTGCCTTCCTGGGGCTCTCTGCTCCTGCCCCCGCGGTAGGGAAGGGTCGTTGCAAGAGGCTGGGGTTAAAAATGAGCAGGAAAATGTAAACTGTGGCCCTGTGGAGCAGGGGAACTGGCTCACAGGTGGGCAGTGGTGGCTGAAAGGGGCTCAGGTCCTGGCTGGCTGTGGTGCCCTGCCTGGCCTTCACGGCAGGAGGGTCAGTGGGCAGGAAGCTGGAAAAACTTCTCTGATCAGATCGAGAAAACCTGCCTCTTCTTCCTGTAGAGGAGGATAAAGCATTCCTGGAAATGACCATCAGTGGGGCTGTGTCTGAGCCCTGACAGCCTTTTCTGTGGGAGATTTAAAACTCATCTAAAATGGCTGGCAGACATTCTTTCCTATTTCGAGTCAGGGCTGGTTTTGCCTTCCCCATTATCTGTTGATGTCTCAGTTCTTTTGTTATGAATTATTGAAAGCAGAAATGCCAAAACGCATGAGAAAGAAGCAGGCTGTGTGGTTACAGGAGGCTTTGCAAATTTGTCAGGGGGGGAAAAAAAAAAGCTCCTGCAGGGTTATAAGCTCCTTTCATGTTCTTTGTGCAAGATGTTTTTTAAAAGCTCCTCAGCAGCAGCCCGACACCTTGCCTGCTGGAAATGCAGAGGGTTGGCTTTAAGAGTGCTCCGGCTGGGGTTTGTAGGAGCCTGGTGGAGTCTGTGTGGCCCCCGGGAAGGGGGAGCTCCCCTGGCCCTGCCTGCACGGCCGGGGTGGGGGCTTTGAGCCCAGACAAAGAGCCCAGCGCTGCAGCATCCAGGGGCTGCAACATCGCCCTGGCTGGGGGGTGGGTGCAGCTGATGCTGGCGAGGGGCTGTGCATGGGGAGGGTGGGGACCGGGTCCTTTTTGCGTTTGCTGCCTTCTGAGGACAAAAGCTACAACGGGCTGTGAAGCATCTGCAGAGGTGAAGTGTATGGAGAACAGGCAGGGGAAGGTGGGCACAGTGGAAGGGCAAACACACGGAAAAGCACTTGTCTTTGCATAAAGGCAAAAAGGATTTCCTGCTCTCATTTTGAAAGGAGTGGGAATTCTGTTTCCTTTTGGCTGTGCAGGGAAAAAAAGAAAAATGTGCCTTTCTCGGCTCAGAGGGAGCTTTGTGATGCGGGTTCTGCAGGGTGGGCTGGAAGGATGGATGCTTGTGAGAGCAGCCCTGCCTGGGGTTGCTGCTCCTGGCTGTGTGGCACCTTCCAAACCGGGTCCTGCCAGGGGGGCTGCAGCACCAAATCAAACCTGCTCTGGGAGCAGCCTGGCCTTGGGCTGCACCTACAGCCTCTTCCTCTCCACCCCAGAGGACAGGCCCTGGGGGCTCTTTGCCCTCCAGACCTCAGCTCAGCGACCCCATCTTAGGGCTCAGCCTTAAGTCTCTGTCTTTGTCTTTTCTGCATACACCAACCATTGCCATTTCTTTAATTCAGAGCCCAGTGGAGCTTCCTCCTCTAGTCTGTGTCCTCAGGACTCGCTGCAAAGAGCCACCTCTGGCCAGAACCTGCTGTTGCTGGAGAGCACCAAGCCTCCCTCCCAAGATGGCAGTCTGGCTAAAAACCACAACACAAATGTTTCCTCAGACTTGCTGGGGATTTTCTCTGCAAAATCTCCACTAAGCCTGGGGAGAAAGCCAGAGGCTGGCGGGCTGGCAGGAGGTGGAGGCGGGTGTGAGAGCTGCTGGAGCTGCTGGGTGTTCCACAGACAGGTTCCTGCTGGCTGCCCTGCTGGGACTTCTGCACCAGGGCTTTAGCAAGTCTGCCCTGGGGGTCAGGATGCATTTGGTTTTTTTTCTGTCCTCCTCTTCAGCACCTACACTACCCTCCTGCAAGGCTTTCCAGTGGCCAGTGTGCAGGTGCCCTCTGAAGTGCCACTACCTTTCCTGCTCCTCAGCCCAGCTGGGGACAGATGAGCTGCCTGCACTGTCACTCAGCTTTTTTTGCCCCTAAAAGTGTGTTTTCCACATGCACCCCAGCCCAGTTGGGGGGTGCCCCCCAGGCTTTCTACACCCGGTTGCTGTTCTACAGCCAAGCCAGCACCTCTGCCTGTGAGTGTGTCCCACCCACCCACGCTGCTGCTGCTGTAGTGACCGGATCTCCCCGGGAAGCAGCAGGGCTGGAGCTGCGGGTTGAGCACAGTGCTGAAGCATCTCCCACTGCTGCTAAAACACGGTGCTATTTTTATCCTAAGGGCTTGCTCTCCGGAGTTCTGCTTCAGCAGGGTGGGTGTGGGGATGGCCAGCGGTGGGTGCAGCCCACCCTGGTGCGCGTGTGCGCAGGGCACAGCTGCCCCTGGCTGCGGGACAGCGGCTCCCGGGGGGGCTTTGGGGGCGGTGGCCGCTTAGTTCCATCCAGACCACCCTCCT